CAAGGTGATCTGACAGATGAATAGAAAATAAAAAACCTGTTTGGAGAAAACTGACAACTCAAATCTTTGAACCTTCTTCTATTTATTCTCTGCAGGGGCTCTACCATGGATGGCTATTGCCATCCAATGGAATCCTTTCCAAGGAGCTGGTTGGATTGAGTTTCAAGGTGATCTGACAGATGAATAGAAAATAAAAAACCTGTTTGGAGAAAACTGACAACTCAAATCTTTGAACCTTTTTCTATTTATTCTCTGCAGGGGCTCCATCACGGATGGCTACAAGGATCCATGTCGCCTTTGTTTGGGGGCCCACTCTTCTAAATGATTAGAACACAGTGCAACCTGCTGCATGAGGTAATGATATATAGCCAATTAATCTTAAATGCAAGAGTGGTGGGGGCTAGTGGTTGGAGTGCATGGTGTTTGTGCTCCAAAGAGGCTATAAAGATCTCTCATTAGAGCCTCAGACTGTCATTCTGGGTCCCTGAACAAAACACTAACTCCAACGTGTTAGTCAGTGTGGCAGCCCACCGCTTCCAGACAGATGGGCTAAATACAGAGGACAAAATTTCCCCAGTGTGGGACCAAATATGAAGAAGAAAAGCTAAAAAATGTATTTCCATTATTTTTAATCAGTAGGCCTAGTAAATTGTTCCTTAACGACACTTTTAAATGTTACAAGAAATCTTTACGTTTGGAATAAAAATAACTGATTTATGAAAGAATTTATTTTAACAGTTACAATTTTTGGCTCCACATTAGAACCACTAGTTTTTGGGACCTTCATCTGACCTACAATTTCCTTTTCTTTAAATATTAAAATCAAAGTCTTGATGTGATTAAGTGCTTGGGAGTAAAGTGGCTTTAAAGATAGAGCTACATCAGCTTTGTTTGCAAAGGGAGGACTGTAGAGCATGAGGGGTTCCAAACAGGGGGAAGGAACCATGCTGAACTGTTCCTGATCTCTTCTAAAGCTCCTGTACTGAATACACACACAGCTAAAGAATTTGAACAGGTAACTAAGATGATCTGCCAAAGGAATGAGTAATTATGCTCTAAAGATGAGACCGTTAGATAAGATAATGGAGATTTGTTTTATTTTAAACACAGACCAGCTGCTTTCTAAGCCAATCTTTTTTTATACTAAACTCGTATTTAAATGTAACTTAAGTTGAGTTTTATAATGCTCTAGTTACAATTTAGTTACAATTTACTTTGTAAGTCGTTGGTAGGTGGTGGCCAATAATAGAAACTGTTATGTGGTGACCCAATAGTAATTACC